ATTATAGATCACAGTCAAGTGTGAAAATTTCCGAGAACTTGATCAAAGCACAAAATTACAGATTAGATACCAGTAATATTCTATTTAGTTAAAATATATGCCAGATAGTAGTATACAAAACTCATAAGACACTTATACCCATAAAAATTCTGATTCCATACAGTTTCCTATGAATCATATACATATATATAGTAAGGAAAAGTAGAGCAAGAATTTGAAGATGAGAGTCATGTGGCAAGTAGTAACATTACGAAGAAAGTGCTTGAAGGTTTCACGTGAGCTTCGTATATAAAACCCTTGGAAGTATATGTAATAAAAATAATGATCAGAAGAAGGCTCATCACTATCAGTGTAGAAAATTTGCTCCAGCAGACAGATCTTGTTTGGTGGGAATTCCGTTTTCGGCGAAACTACTGTTGTAATTGAATATGACACACATCATATTATGTTATCAATTATCAATTCCAAAAAGAGACGAAGGTGTGTGGTGTGGTGACCCAGAAAGCCAAACAAACACCAGACGTGTTAATCACCGCGTCGTCACTGTTCTAAGTCTTTCATCTGGAACGTGGAAAAGGAAAACTCTTCGCTGTCAAAATCATTCATAGGTATTTATTTAAACTGAAATTACATAAAATTAATATCTAAATTAAACCCTAAATTATAAATTCATAATAATTTAAATTATAAATTCATAATAATTTAAATTATAAATTCATATCTAATACATTTCGTACCCTTAACAACTAAACTTGTTGCAATTTTGCCCCATCCATTACCAATAAAACAACAAATTAAAGTTTGATGTATAATTTTTTTTTAAGGAAGGCAAGAGAGAAAGAAAGTAAAATTTAATAAAAATTACATATTAGGCCATATTTTTTTAAAGTGTAACAAACACTTGTTTTAATTTAATGATAGGGGTGATATTATCCTAATTTTAATTATTTAAGATTTAAAATATATTGAATATGAGTTTATGATTTAAATTACTCTTACACCTATAATTTAAAGTTCAACATTCCTATTGACCAAATTATATATACTCCTTTTCTTTTTTAATATAAGCCATTTGTATAAACTTTCTATTATCTTCTGTCTTTCTTAGTATCAAATTCTTCTTTCTTTACAGATATTCTTAATAATTATATTGTTGAGAGAAATTACATAAGTAGGAATTAAAAGAAACTAAGATTAGTTAATTTTTTGATTAAAAAAGAAAAAAATAATCTTAATCAAGATTAGTGATAATTTTAATAAAAAATAATAATCAAGATTAATTAACTAATGATTTTTATTTTTAATTTTTTATAATTTAATTAGTTATAGTTTTAATAATTTTAATTTTATTATTATGTAATTAAGATTAATTCATTTTGATTAGATCATAATCTTGGAGGGCAGTAATTATATTGAATAGCGGTGCAAGTAATTCGATTTGGCGTGATTCAATTCGAGCAACCTGAGCAAAAAGAAAAGTTCACACAATCAAGTCCCGAGGCGCAAATACATGAATGACACTCAAAATTTTTTGAGATATTAATTTTATGATTGTAGACTGTAGGAATACTCTGATAAAAAAGAAAATCCTATCTTAATAATTTGGGGTTTTCGAGACTGCCCAAATAAATAAATTGTTAGAGAGACTTTTTATTTTCAAAATCAATTTCAATTTCTCCCTTAAAATTAATTATTTTTTTATTACAAAAATATATTTATACTTGAAAAATTTAGAAGATCCAAAAAAATTAAAAAAAGTGTAGGTTTTAAATTTTAAAAATTATTATTAAAATATATTTTAAAATATTTTACATATTTAAAATGATAGGGCCATACAATATAAATATTTATACTTTTTTTAATAATACATATATCAATGTACTCAAATATACACATAAAATGCACTAAACCTTAAAAGAATAATGAATATTTAAAATGTATCATGTATATACATATAAACATTTAAAATATTTGGAATATTCGGCCAATTTGGCTTTAACTTGAATTTTTGAATTCATTCAAGCTAATCTTGGAGAAGTTTGAATGTAAAAAAAGTACCGTCTTAGTCTCAATTTATAAAATAATTTTAAAAAAATTACATATTAAACTCATTAAATATACTTTATAATTTTATTTTGTTCACAATAAAAATATAAATATTAAAAAATATTTTTTATTCAATTACTCTATTTATGAAAGAATATTAAATATATATATATGTATATAATAAGGGTTTAGAAAAATATTATTACTAAAATTTTATTTTTATCAAATCATCCCACCTTTTGGGATGCTGAATTTTTTAAAAAATGTTTCATAAATTGGGATAAAAGGAGTAATATTTTTTTTTTAAAGTTTCTCCTAATTTTAAGCTCATTGAGATTGGTCCATCTAACTTACCCAAATTACTTGGTAAAAAAAATTACCTAAATTACCTGTTCTGTAGGTGAGACCGTGAAAGTATTTTTTTAGTTCTATTTATAAAATGAAGAGAGAATATTAATTTTAATTATATTTATAAAGAATTTTACTATTTTTTATAAATGTTTATCTTAGCTTTTTTACCTTTATTAAATGTAAAAAAATTAATTTTTTTCTCTATTAAAGAGTAAATTAAAAATTTATTAAATTTTAAGATAAATTTAATTAAATTTATTTTTAAATTTTGATAAAACATATTCAAAATGATTGGGAAATAACAACTTAGTGAGTTAAGCTCTTCCCCATGAGAGGTCTCTTTCTCTTGTTTGTTGGCCAGGTTTTTAAAGTGCATCAGCATCCTGGTAAATTTTTTTTTATCCTTATAATTTTATTGAATTTTAATTTTAATTTTTATATTTTTTTTAGTATTTTTAGTTTTTTAGAAATTCAAAATTATTAAAAAATAAAAAATTATAGAAACTTAAAAAATAAAGGTCACTTAATTTTTTTAAAATTATAGAAATTAAAAATATTAAAAAAACTATAATAATTAAAAATAAAACACAACAAAATTATAAGGATTAGGGTCTTTTCTTTTTTTTTTCAAAAAAAAAAAAAAAAAGGTGCATCAACATCTCCGCGTGCTAATGCGCGCCGGCTTTGGACGCGTGCCACGTGGGTTTGTTTGAAGAGACTAGCAGCTGAGAGTGCCCCCACCAACACTGCCATTGTCAATGACACAGGAAAGTGCTCCCAAGCTCCACTTTCATTTGCGTTCACCGTACATATTGCTTTTTTGTTTTTGTTCCCCCCCCCCCCCCCCGAAAAAACAATTGGTTTATTAAGCTTGGTTTGGATGAATGAAAAGATGAGAAAAAAAAAATTTGAAAAAGAGAAAAACTTAAAAAAAATTAAAAATAAGAAATTTTTATTATTTTAAATTTTTTTAGTTTTCATTTTTTATTATTTTTCTCCTCGTTGAAACAGAAGTTCAGGATTTATTATAATGCTGTGATATAATTTTGGTATTGTGCCCCCTATTATCTGTGTGTGATTGTTATAGGTATATACGGGTGGTTTTGGATGAATTAAATTTTGTCAATAAATAGATTCAATATTTACAATATTATTAAAATATTAAAAAGACAAGGTTATAATTAATTTCAGAGTGTATGTATATTCACTATAGTAAGTTTAAGAAGTATAACTATAGCCAATGAACACATAACTCAATTAGTAATAGGTTGTGGAAAGCTTGAAGTTGAGTCTTGAATATGTAACTGTGTTAAATATTTGTTGAAAAATGTTTGCTGTTAATCTGATCATACTCTACTCGACTTATAAATAATAGGTAATTAAATAAAAACAATATATGGAGTTTAAGAAGTGTTATTGGGCCCATAATATTTCATTTCAATTCATTAACTGACAGCTATCATAATCAAATAAGTATGATTTTTATATGTGATGAACGTACCTTTTTTGAAATATTATCTGCGGATATATTTTATTTGTAGTTATTTAATTATAAGTATCTCATATAATTAAAAGGTATTGGAGAAATAGGAGCGTGCCACGACAATTAAAGTCTCCATCAAATACAGCCTCCCCTGATCCCAATGATGATATATTGTAAGCAGACAAGGCCTTCACTTTTTCTAAGTTGAAAAGAGCACTTGAAGATATATAGAAAATAAATAAAAAGAGCAACCAATCATAATTAACTACGACTAATAAATTCTGAAGAGCCAAACACGGACTCGACGGACTCGACCCTTCCTAGAAGCAGGTGACCTGACCATATTTCATCCGAGAGAATTCAACCCCATAAAGTGGTCGAGTTAAAATGGGGAATCAGTAAAAATATAATGTAAACCTGCAGAGATTAATCATATTTGATTTAATTTGCCGAATATGTCGTCTCTGGCCCTTTTTCGCTCTTAGCATTCATCAAATCTGAATCCAACGCTTGGATTCTTTTTCGTTTGATTTCTGGTAACGAAGCTGTACGATTCAACAAATTGTATGTTCAACGCTCGTATTTGAATTTCAAAGGAATAAGATGTTTGATGTATTCAAGCAAACTTAGACTCCATTGAATAATCCTTGGAATTTTTTATTGAGGCCAAAATTTCAACCATTAGATTAGATTGAAGCCACCTACTAATCAAGCGTCACGTCCCTGCGACACTAGTTCGGCTATTGCAAGTAATAGTCTGTAAGATTGCCCTTAAATTATATATATGCCCCATTAAATCTCAATCTATATTCCAGAGCTTGTAGGTCCTACATGCCCATGATCAGCAAGCCATATATGTGTATATAAGAGAGAGAGAGAAGAGAGAGAGCGAGAGAGGTTGACTTAGGGGCTTTTGACGTCAAAGTCTTTACATCATACGAACGCATCTCGGCCACAACGCTGTCTCTGATACTTGCCTGGTTGTTTCGTCCAACATTCCAAGAAGCTTCTGATTTTTTTTTTTCCTGATATTTTAAATATTCAATTTAATTAATATCTACAATTCTCCAGTAGGGTATATAAAAAAAGGAAACCTCCTCTTGAATGCAACCTTGCACCACCCTCCTCCTCCCCCAAGTCCTTACTCCTTATTGTCTCTCTGACTATCCTGAATCTCTCTCGAATCATTCCCGAAAATGGCAGCCAAACGGTTCTCACCCGATGATTCTGATCCTGAACCAGACAACCGAAGCGACAAACGCATGAGACCTTCTCGACCTTCTTTTGCTTCGTATGATGCACCGATTCGTTTCAATAATCCCTTTAGTTTGAAAAAGCTCTTTCCGATCTCTCGCTCTGATAATCAATTTTACATGTTTGACAGGATAATAGGAGAAGTGGTTATGGTGAAGAACATGCAGAACCTTTTCTCTTCCTTAGAGCCTTTGCTCAGACGAGTTGTAAGTCATTAATTATTCATCTTCTTCATAAGACTTCTCAAGAGTCATTACTTGAGGGATGCAATGGTATTCAACTTACAATTATTGTTGTTAATTAGGTGACTGAAGAGGTTGAACGAGCGATGAGGCATTGTGCTCCACGTTCGATAACTCGATCTCCTTCTCTGCGAATCGAAGCAATCGATCAGACTCAAGCATCGGGTTATCAGCTAATGTTCAGCAAGAAGCTTTCTCTCCCAATATTCACTGGAACAAGGATTCTGGACAGTGATGGGAAACCTATCCAAGTCATGCTTGTTGAGAAGAACGGTGACCAATTGGTCCGAACCTGTCTCCCCCAACCCCTCAAGCTGGAGCTGGTGGTTCTCGACGGAGACTTCCCCGCCGGCGACAAGGACGCGTGGACCACCGATGAGTTCGATAGACACACAGTGAAGGAGAGAGCTGGGAAGCGACCCTTGCTCACCGGAGAGTTGAACCTTACCATGAGGGATGGGATTGCACCGATCGGTGACATTGAGTTCACCGACAATTCAAGCTGGATTCGGAGCCGGAAATTCCGTGTCGCCGTCAGAGTTGCTCCGGGGAGTAACCTTGGTGTTCGGATTCGTGAGGGCATGACGGAGGCCTTTGTCGTCAAGGATCACCGTGGAGAATGTAAGTATTCTATTTTCATATACTTCAATCAAATTAACTTGCACTTCTTGATCATAGTTTTGGTTGGCTTTCTGCAAGCAAAGGCCATAATTTAGTGGGTTCGAATTTAAGCACCTTGGTCTTGCATATATTTTTAACATTTTGGTGTTTAAGCTTTGACCTGCACTCGGGTTCAATTTATTTTTAATTAGCATCATTAACAAGAATAATATCAATATATCAGTCATTTGGTTTGCAAGTGTCATTTGTTTACCATAATATTAGGTTGTCGATACCAGTTCTTGAATCAACCTCTTCTTTTATAAATATAACGTAGACCTAGTCAAGAAGAAAATTTATTAGATATACATTTCATGTGCAGACATACACTATACATGTGTAGATATTCATGAAGTTCTAAAACTATATATGTACAGCTTTACATCTTTCACATTAATTTTAATGACTGTCCCACATCATTCCAAGTTGCACGCCAGCAACAAAGTAGACAATGAAAAAGAAAGAAAAGACGTAAAACTTTACTGGAATTTGGCATGATTTGAACATCATCTCTGTATAGATTAGGCTACACACACATATTCAACTTTAACAAGAAAAATATTCTAATAAAAAATTATTTATACAATCTTCGAAAAATAAAATAGCTAGTTAGGCATAGTTCTGGGAAGCCCAGGTTATAAATATATATATAATTTCGATCATATTTCAGAATTTTATACAATAATAAATATATTTGCAAATGAAAGTTTGAGGTCGTAATCTAAATTCAAAGACTCGAGTGTGTTTGTGTGTATATATTTGTAAAATAATCTATATATGTATGTTTGTATGGTTATCCACTTTATAGCTGTATATATATCCAGAATGTGTCTGTGTGTAATTTATATATTGGACATCCCTTTCACCCTTTCCAGCAAGTAAATGGTTGTCTGCATTTTTTTCTTCTCGCTTATTTTCTCCCTTAATTTATTTATATATATGGCTACAGATCAAGAAAGTGATTGCTAATCTTTTGGCCAAAAACACAACTAAGCTTAGAAGCTTTAATTTTTCCCGCAACCTTGCAGACTCCCATGGTCCCACCAATGCAACCTTTTTGCACTGTTGCAGAAAACCATGAATTTTATACTATTGAGCTATGCAAAATACAGTATATATACGTATTTAACTAACTTATCACAACTTGTTACAAATATATGTATAGTGATTAAACAAGGAAACTAACGTAAATTAAAATGGATGTGAAGTGTACAAGAAACATCATCCGCCAATGTTGGACGACGAAGTGTGGCGTCTGGAGAAGATCGGGAAAGAAGGAGCTTTCCACAAGAAGTTGTCGTCAGCGCATATCAAAACCGTACAAGACTTTCTGAAGCTGTTAAGTATCGATCCTCAGAAACTCAGAGGGGTAATTCCCATTTCCCAGTTTATCTAATTGTTAATAATCTTAATTATTAATATGTATGTATGGTCGTGGGAATGTAATTTTATTTCTGGTGGGAATATATGGCAGATTCTGGGGATGGGGATGTCCGATAAAATGTGGGAAGCGACAGTGAAGCACGCGAGGACATGTGAAATGGGGACCAAGCTCTACTTGTACCGTGGGCCCCACTTCGCCCTCTATTTGACTCCAACCTGCCAGGTCGTCAAAGCTGAAATGAGCGGCCACATCTTCTGGGGCAAGGATATTACGGCTAACTTTAACAGGGTATGACCCAATTTATATTCCTGATCACATCTTCTTAATTTGATTTCTGCTAAAAAAAAAAAACAGAGAGACTATTTTAAATATAACTTATTTGTTCGGTTGATTAATTGGTACGAGAACAATGTCGTCAATTTGCAGAACTACATAGAGAAATTGGTGAAGGAAGCATACGCGAAGTGGAATTGCTTGGAGGAAATTGATTCATTTTTGGCGGCTAACATTTCCACACTAACCCAAGGTCTGTCAATTAGTATAACTTTCTCGATTATCATTGTTGATTCCTTAATTAATTAGAATAATTGATCGGGAATTTATTTATATATTACGAACAGGGGAGAACATGGAGCAAATGCCAAACAACAACAACAATCTAGGAATGACATATGATCATCAGGTGGGTTTCTTACAGGAAGGCTACGGAATAGGAACAGATAATGTTCAAATTGGAGGAAGCAGCGAGTGGCCGGCGAATGCGACATTCTCGGCAACATCGTACGTAAATGCTGCCATGTCTTATAACTTCTCAGAGACACAGTCAGATGGCAATATAACACCGTCTGTTTCTCTCATGGATGGGGCTACAACTCCAAGGTGGCCTTGACCCCAATTCTGTACATATTACATAAACATAGGACCTTACCACTTGCCATCGCCAAATGTTTTAGCCCTTCAAACACTGTTTCCTTAGCATCTCGGTGTTTAGATCGGGCTTTGTTATGTTAGGTTGTAGGAAGTAATTGTTAGGTTGGTGGTGGTAGGCCCATTTTTAAGAAGATGATGGGCCGGGCCTGTCCTTCAAAATGGTCAACCTTGCCCTTAATGGGCCAGTGTTGCAGTGTTTTTCCAACTTTAAACAAAATCACAAACACTATGTCATGTAACTATACTTCTGCAACGTGTTGTTTCATTTCTTTATGGTCTTCATTTTGTTTTTTTGTATTATTTTTAAGGTTTGTTTCGTTTTGCAATGATCTTCGTTCAGCTTGAGTTTCATGCTATGCTTGGATTACAAGAAAAAATAAAAAGAAGAGAAATGTGAGATAAAAATGGAGAGAAGAAAAAAAAAAACAAGATATAATTTTTTTCTTTCTATACTTTGGCTGATAGAGAGAAAATGAAAAGAAAGAAAAACTATTAATCTCATATAGACAAGAAAAAATTTATTATTTGTAGAAAAATATTTGTATAGAATAAAATTTAATATTTTAACATATTATTTATATAATTTTTACTATACATTACTGATTAAATAAAAATATAATTGTAAATTATTTTACTCGATGCTAGTAGTAAAAAGATTATTTTGTCCAATTTTAATTTTTGTTTCCTAAATTATTAAATATAAAATAATTTAAATTTTAAAGTGAAGGAAAAATTATGATAAAAATGGTGGGAGGTAACAGGTAAAATATGAAAGATTCATGGAAAAATTTTAAAATTAAATTTTCTCTTCAAAATTTCTCTATATTTGAATAGAAAAATTGAATATAAAAATATGTGAGTTACACATGTTTTTTTTTATTTTTAAATTTACTCCTTTTCTTGTTCTTTTCTCTTTAATCAAACACGAGAAAGTGTCAAAACCTCTCCACTTTTCTCACTTCGTTATTTTCCCCCTGCTCTTTTCCACTGCAAGTACAGCATCAACGTTAATATGCTATTAGTAAAATCCAACCTAGTAAATGGGGATTATTTCGCACACACAAATTGAGGTGAGATTCATATATAAATGTAATTAAAATATTTCATAAATAAAAATTGAAATTCACAACTTGCATGAAAATATTATTCCAGAAGTTATTTTCATAAATCATGAGTGCTTTAACAGTTTAACCTCCATCCATTGGAAATTCTAAATTCCAAGTATCTTCCCATCTATTATACCCCAGAATATGATCTCAACCTGAGATCTGTATGTCATCATTTGCTCAGCAATTTCTGTAACGTGTGAACATCGAGACTCGAAATAATTCTAATAACCAAGAAATTTCGAGGATTTTGCCTCCTTTTCGATATCACCATACGGTACCTTTCAGTTTTCACATCCACTGAGTCCCTTGTCCCCCCGCCAAGGCAAAGTCAACTTGTCCACAACTGCACCTCGTTTCTTTATATTAGCAGAAAATATCATAACCATTTCACAAGACCCAAAGTCGCCATCTTTCTGCCAAACCCATAATCAACCCGATACATCCAACATCAACAGAAACATTTCGTAATGCTGAAACTCGCATGTTTTCTTCTACCTCTGTTTTCCTTCTTCAACCGCAGTGCTTCTGCTAGCAACTCCACTTCATCCTCCACAGTTTGTCCCACCTACAACTGTGCCGATGGGCTCAAAATCAGATACCCTTTCTGGGTCTCTCATGGTTCCCCTCCTGACCAATACTGTGGTTACCAAGAATTCGGCCTCATCTGCTCTGACCAAGGTGGCTACCCCATTTTCTCTCTACCTCCTGGGTTATATTATCGTGTCGCCGACATAGACTATGACAATCATACCGTTCACCTTATTGATGTTGACACTTTCAACCAAACATGTCCAAGAGCACTTCACAAGGTTCCCCTGGGAAATTGCCCCTTTCTCACTCCCCTTTGAATTTGAACCTTAGCTTTCATTACAATTGCAGTTCTCACCCCTCTGATGCGTCGCCCATAACGTGTTTGACGTCTGGTGTGAAGCAGTCCTTTGTGTTTGTGACGGGGAACGAAACTGAGGGTTTTGATTGGTCCAATACTTGTGAAGAGAGTGTTGTCGTGACGGTGATGAAGGACGGGATTACAAGTGAAGGGTTGATGAATGAGTACAGAGAGGCCATGAATGAAGGGTTTATTCTTGACTGGCAAACTGCTAAGAGTTGTGATGAGTGCGAAGCTTCTGATGGGATTTGTGGTTACAGCAATACCAGAAAGGAGTCCTTGTGCTTCTGCAAAGCGGCAGTGTGCAAAGCAATAGCTGTTCGGGTATGCTAAAGTGTTTCACTTTCTTTCTTGATCTCAGCCTGAAATATTTTTCCAGTATTCTACAGTACTCTTTTTTAGGGGGGGTTGATTGGAAGGGAGGTTGTTTGGCTTGAAAAATTTTTCCCTCCCTCCCCTTCCCAACCCTCCCTTCAAATTGGGAGTATTGGGAGAAGAGGAATAAAAATTTATCACACCATAATTAATATGTTTTTTGTAATAAGTTTAAAAATATAAATGCACTTTTTTAATATTTTAACACTAATAAAATATAAATAAAATTGTTTATATATAATTATTTTTTTTCTCTACTCTTGAATCAAATAAAATAATATTAAATTTCTCTCCTCCCTTTGGATTAACATCCCTTCCCTCTTCTCAAATCAGACACATGCTACAGTAAGCTTGCAATAGTAGTCTAACTACTATATGTTGACTGTAGCCACAAAGTCATTGTAAATTGGTAAGTTTTCCACTTTTCCTTGGTTCATGTTTTATTGATGAAATATGTTGTTGTTGGGTGACAGGTAGAAGCAAGGCCCGTTTGTCAAAGCCCATAATTGGTACGCTCCCTCTACATATCCTCTCTTGCCCATTTTTTTCTTTCACACGATGATCAAAACATGGTCATGTAATGGTTAGAATTTTTTCACGGAAGCGTATTACATGATGAATCAGAAAATGCTTGTATATGACTAAACTTTCAAAGCTGTATATATTGATCATTTGACAACCAAGCTTCTCAAACAGAGATCTAAATGTTGCCCTCGAACAATTTTCTGTTGAATGCTTCATTTTTTTGCTGTTGAAAAATGACAAATTAAAGTTAAAGAATAAAAAGTAACCTTTTTTTTTTTAAAAAAAAATATATTACATAGACAACATTATATTACAACCTGAGATAAAGAGCAAAAAGAAACAGACCTAAACCTAGCTAACAAACAGGAAATATCAGTTCTGATTAAATGAAGTTTAGAATCTGTCGGCAGACATCCAGTAATCAACCTGACATAACTAGTTTTTTCCACTCCCATTGTAAGAGGATGTCGAAATGTTTGAAATATGAGATATTTCTTACTGATAAATTGCGGCCGCTTCCTGAATTCCGTCAATAAAAGCCCAACGCTCTGATTCTGTCCCTCAGAACACCAATCTCTTGTATATAATATCCTTGTTGAAAAATAATTGGAGCAGTAGTTCTTTTCCTTTTTCTCCTCCTTTTTATTTTCCTTAAGTTTAACAATAAAAGCCAACCACTAAACACTGTCACCGAATCCCAATGAAAATTCCTTTTAAGGTCAACATTCAGCCGCATTTCCCCTCTTCAGTAATATGACTCGAAGTCTCCGACAAATCATCCAGTTTACAAGTTCAATAACAGATTCAGGTCTTGGTTGAGCTTTCTCATGCAACATTTTGGTTATAAAAAACCATACGTTATATAGGATAGAACAACTCTGTCTATATTTGTAGTCGATCTCAAACCCAAATAAAAGAGGAGGCTTGTATTGAACCCTTGACAGTCAACATAAAACTTTGTCAAATCTCACATAGACATGGACATATGAGACTTATTGTTGCTACTGCTGCTGCTGTTGTTATACAGGATAGAACACATGAAAATCTGAACCGGTGCAGAATTATTTGGCATTTGTGACATCAATAAAAAGTAACATTTTGGAATGCAGCATGAGCCTAATAAGCCCAATACGACTATCTTTTATTATAATATGTCCTTTCCCATTTACCATCATAAGGGGCTACGTCATATTTTTTAACCCCCCTGAATTGTCTTCTATTTCTGTCGACAGGTCTAATAGTTGGAGGAATTGCAGCTCTGCTGACATGCATCCTTATTGTCTCTTTGAGACGAAAATTGTCATTGATTCTGTCAGCGGAGTTTTGGAAGATGACAAACAATGATCAGCGCATAGAATCCTTCATCAGAAATAATGGACCTCTAACAATAAAAAGATTTACATTTTCAGAAATCAAGAAAATGACCAACTCTTTTGAAGTCAAATTGGGAGAAGGAGGTTATGGTAGAGTATACAAAGGGATTACAATAAAAAATTGCCCAGTGGCCGTGAAGGTATTGAATGCATCCAAAGGGAATGGTGAAGAATTTATCAATGAGGTTGTCAGCATTAGTAGGACTTCACATGTAAATATTGTCACTCTCCTTGGTTTTTGTCTTGAAGGTGGCAAAAAAGCACTTGTGTATGAACTCATGCCAAATGGTTCGCTTGAAAAGTTCATATACAACAGGAAATTGGAGACAAATCCACCCTTGAGTTGGGAAAAATTACTCCAAATTGCTGGAGGGATAGCTAGAGGGCTAGAATACTTGCATAGAGGTTGCAATGCTCGAATCTTGCATTTTGACATAAAACCAAACAATATCCTTTTAGATGAAAATTTTTGCCCAAAAATATCAGATTTTGGATTAGCTAAGCTTTGCTCAAAAACTCACAGTAAAGTGTCAATGTTGGATGCTAGAGGGACTGTTGGGTATATAGCACCAGAAGTATGGAACCGAAATTTTGGAGGTGTCTCTCACAAGTCAGATGTGTATAGTTATGGAATGTTGATTTTGGAAATGGTTGGAGGAAGAAAGAATGTCAATGAAGAATCAAGTTGTTCAAGTGATATATACTTTCCTCATTGGGTATATGGCCAAATTGAGTCAGGCAACAAGATAATAGGGTATGATGATATAACGAGAGAAGAAAGTGAAATTGCAAAGAAGATGATCCTAGTGGGATTATGGTGCATTCAGCCCATGCCATCAGATAGGCCTCCCATGAACAGAGTGATTGAGATGTTGGAAGGGAGCTTGGATCAGCTGTCAATACCACCAAAGCCTTTCATATTTCCACCTACAATTCCAAGAACGGGAGAGGAAAACTTTGCAACAAATGGTGTTCTTTCATTTTCGGCTGATTATCAATGTGGTAGATAGAATTATATCTTTTTTGTAAAAGTTAATTAAATCCTTGTACATTTGCAATGGCATCATAGATGTGAAATTTGTAGTTTGAATTTCAAGAATTATGTGCAGTCATCAAGTGAAAAGTATAGTATATGATATTATTGGGATGTTATACCAATGCTTAATTAGGTTTAAATAGGTAAAGTCTAATAGGCTTGAAGTGGCTAACCCTTTAGAATTGAGGGCTGGCCCGTTCATATATTGTTTTTATTAAAAATTATTGATATTTAAGAAATATTGAGGGAGAAAATTCAAATTTGAAAAAAAAAACAGTAAAAATGGAAAAGAAAAACAGAAAATCCTCATTTAAATGAAAAAATTTAGATATTTTTGCCATATGAAGAGCCAACTCAAAGTGAAACACAATCTTTTGATTGTTGATATTATATATGATAATGATGAAAATCACAATGATCATTACGATGGTGCTGCTAATGTTTGGGTCTTATTGGTTTATTAATATTTAGGTAAGACTTGTTTGATTTATTAAACTTTGTTTAGTTTTATTTTAAAATTTTAACAATGATTTGATATTTTAGTTGGTTAATATTTAATTATTTATGATTTAATTTGTTTACTTATCATATATTCATTTCAAAGCAAAAAATTTGAAAATAATAAAAGGGCTTCAAGGCGGGTCTTGAACTTAGAAATTTAAAGGCTTCACTTTGCAAACAATATAATTTTTAGATAATCTAACTTTTTAGGCCCAATCTTTTTAGGTTCAAGTCTATCTAGAGCTACCTCATTTTTCCACTTTCATCAATATTTCACTATTTATCTTAACAGATTTTTAACAATATTATTTTTTTTTGAATAATAAGAATCAAATTGATAACTAACGAGACTAATTTAAAATATAAAATTTGATGCACTAAATCGATAATTGAGATAAACGTAAAATTTTTGTTTTATATATATATAACAACTAATTTACTCTTATCTTACTACTAAATTCTATTATTACTATTTTTTTTCAAGTGATGAAGGATGCCAAAATCAACATGAACTATGTGTGATTAAGTAATTCTCCTTATTTTAGTACTATTGCTTTTCTTTGACTTCTAAATCATTGTTTTTGCAATCTAACTTTTTTTTGACTCCTTATCTTACAAAATTCATTGTTTTTTAAAGCAATTGATATAGTTTTTAGATAATCTAAATTTTTAGGTCAATCTTTTTAGGCTCAAGTCCATCTAAAGCTACCTCATTTTCCCACCTTTATCAATATTTCACTATTTATATTAACATATTTTTAACAATATTACTTTCTTTTTAAATAATAAAAATAAATTGATGACTGATGAGACAAATTTAAAAAATAAATTTTAATGGACTAAATTGATAATTGAGATAAACATGAAGACTAAATTTTTTGTTGACTAATTTACTTTTATCTTAATACTAACTTCTAGTATTGCTAATTTTTATTTTTTAAAGTGACGAAGGATGCCAAAATTAACATGAACTATGTGTGATTAAGTAATTCTCCTTATCTTAGTCCTAATTACTTTTCTTTGACTTCTAAATTCATTTCTTTCACAAAAAAGGTGACAAAACTGGTTGAACACCTAAAATTGATGGCTGACTTTGAAAGTTTCACGGCTAATTTTTCTTTGTTTGACTTCTAAATAATTTTTTCAAAGAAAAAGAAACCTACAGATTTCCAACCCTATTGGGAAAAGTTGTCAGCAGCAACGGGAAAGGATTTTTTTATTTATATATATAATTGATCTGTCATTTTTTTGGTAAAAACTCTTCCTTAAAAAAAAATGCTAAAAAGACCATGAAATTAAGTTATTTTGGTTGGGGGGGGGGGGAGGTCCTTCAAGAGAATTCACGCTATAACCTTAATTTGTTGGGAGGACCTTGGTCCTTTTTTCAAATATTTTTACTTAATGGTCCTTCTTACCAATTTTTGCCCATCTACAAGGAGCCAAGATCCCCAAGAATTAATTACAAAAGATCCTTAAACATAATGAACTTTCTGAATTGGTCCTAAGCACCATTCTGCCAAAAATGTTAGGCAACAACTCGATAGAGTGTGTTAATTATTTTTTCCTCACGTGTCACGCTCCGCTACCTATTCTATTAAGAAAATAGATACCAACCCGCCATTTACACGTGATTGCTTTTTATATTAGTTGTTCGAAATAGTGTATACTCTTTTAAAGTAAACTATATACTGATTATCAGAATCAAAACTATATACTGATTATATTGAAAGAAACAGATACAATATAATGTATTCAAAAGTTTAATGTTATTTTTAATTCCTTTTTGCTCTAGTACAACTGCATTCATAGAGTTGACTTCCCTCGATTAGAGGAAACCTTTCAAATATGAGTTATTAGATTGGATTCGATGATTTAAATTTAATAATTTTTATTTAAAGTACAAATTAATTTGTATATTAAAAATATAACTTGAATGGTTTAAATTCATTATGAAGACGCAATGAACAGGAAACGCAAGAGAATCAAGGCACGCATTTACAATGAAGCTGCTCCCAAGATTTAATCGTGAGGATGATATAATTTGATGATCTTTATTTTGGCCTCTTGATTCTGAAGCTGTAAGATGATCAGGTCTTAATTATAAAAAAAAGTTTTAAAGTCTTATTTGATTTTAAACATGAGATAAAGATATACTGGTTAATATTTTTTCAATATTGCTTTTCTTTAAGCATTGCACCAAGTTGTAATTTTTAGACACATTATATTTTGATCATTAGTTTTAGGGAGGGGCAAAATTGAAAGGTTAAATATTTTTATAAATTTAAGAATATTAATTATTATTATTTTAATAACCATAAAATTGTTTAGCTTTATCTTATAATTAAAACGTGATAGTACTTAACATTCAAGAGTTGCATCAATTGATCAATTACAACTAATTAAACATCATTTCACATTGTTCAAATCAGCCTCCAGCACTTCCATCCTCAATTCCTTTCTGCTGTGACTGCCCTTTGTCCCTTGTTGCATTGCAATAAATGAAAATGCACAGCTAACAAAAGCATTTCCTTACAACTAACAAAAAAAAAAGTGATATAGCTGATAAGAATTTAATTCATAAGTTACAAGTAACCAAATCCAAATGATTGATGGTGAAAAATAACTATGTTATTTCTTAAGTCTTCTCTTTATTCTATATATATGAGATGCTTTTGAAAAAAAACTTTGAGTTTAATATTACTCTGCTCTCTTATCATAATGTATGACTTTTGATGTGGTTAACATATTATATCACCTAAGTTATGGCTTTTCATATATGGTTAACAAATTAAATTACTTATGTTATATTGTATACTTTTAAATTTTATTTACTAGTTAATTACTTGAGTGAATTTATTTATGACCAAAATTTTAATTCTTTCAAAATCAATGTACAATTTAGCGAGGAAATAATGAGAAAATTATTTCTCTCCAATAAAACCCATTTGCTAGGAATTAGTGAGGAATTTTCCTCTCTCATTATTTGCTAGCCTTGATATTTTATTGTCAATTACAATTTATTAACAAGAAAATAATGATGACAAAATTTCTTGCTAATATTAGCAACGATAGCATTCTTCCCTAATATTAGCAAGGACCGCATTCCTTACAAAAAGTCCTAGCTAAATATATAGGATTGATAATTAATGAAGCTCTGATTGCCTCACTAAAATTAGAAAGGAAATAAGGTTTTCGCTAATTAACAAGGAAAAAATTATTTCTTGCTAAACATTAATAACTTGTTAGTTATTCATGAGCAATATATGGTTCTTATTAAATCCTAATTTTCTTGTAATGTGAGATCAAATCATATGATCAATGTAAAAATATTATTGATGGGCAATCTTTAAATACATACGTAAGTATTTTTTAAGTTTAAAAGCATCTGCTATCCTTGTGGAATCTTACGACCAAACTCACTAAAAAATTTTCGCTTTAAACTCTCCTTTCCTTCAATAAACCAAACATTACCTTAAAAAAATTAATTTTCCCTTTAAACTTTTTCCTCTAATCTTATTTACAAGTTATTTTTAATATATTTTCTTTAAATTAAAAATTGGTAATTCTTTTTACAATTTAATAAGTTTTTAACATTGCACTTATTAAATATACACTTTAATAACATAATTTTTCTTACCAACATCTATTAACGTGGGAAAAAATTAATAACATGTCTTATAATTAGGGAAAAAAAGTTTTTTCCTTCTTCCTTGGCTTGTTAATAAAACCAGAAGAAATTCACTTTGTATTGAACCAAATATTAACCAGCCAGCTGGCTAATAATCTCTTGCATTATATGGGATTTGAGAAATGAGTCATACTGCAACGAGTAATTAATAATGCAACTTGTATATGTTATATTAAATTATAAATTTATATTTATATTGATTATATGGTCCTGGCAATCATAATTTCCAGAATAAGAAAGGAACAGTATGGCGCATGCAGCCTTCGAGGTTGACTTTGGAGAATGAGAACAAAAGACACGAAGAGTGGGTTGGTACGTAAGCGAAGCCAAGCCAACTTTATAGATTCAATTTTCTTAGAAGCGGTGGTTGATTAGTTTCTGTCAAATGGGAAAAACGAAAGACATTTCACAACTGTTGAAAAAGAATGAGAACAAAAGACAGTGCAATTTGTTGAACTGCACAGCACATACAAGAAGATTATTCAACCCAGATTCTGGCAATTATTCAACCCAGCTTTTTAAGACTTCTCCAAGAACTTACAATTTTTACAATGACTTTCAAGGCACCTTAATGAATCTGCATTATCGTTGATTCTTGAAATTTGATTGTGGATTTACAATGTATAGCTATAAAAAACTTCAACACTTAACCGCTTCCTCCTTCTATATATTACGCTCATTTGATCGTGATGCATTCTAATTTTTTCGATGCTTTGCGTCCAAAGCTTCATTAACAGTATGAGTTTCGTTGTAATAACTTGTTATCAATTCCATGATTTAGATGCAACATGCAAGAGAACACTCTATTTCGGTAAATTAAAAAGGTCATGGTGGAAATTCTGCGTCTCTGTTTTTCCATGATCCCATCCTCCCCGTCCAGTAAAAACAACCTTCGC